CTCCCATTTCATTATATCTCGTGGTAGGCGTACCACCCGCTCCCATTTCATTATATCTCATGGTAGGCATACCACCCACTCCCATTTCATTATATCTCGTGGTAGGCGTACCACCCGCTCCCATTTCATCGATTTTGTGGTAGGCATACCACCCGCTCCTATTTCATCATATCTTGTGGTAGGCATACCACCCGCTCCCCTTTACAAGTCATTACAAAATTACAAGAAATCCCGGCAAGGGAACAAAATAATATACTAACTTCCAGGCAAGGGAACAACAATATCGAAACAGTTATCCCGGCAAGGGAGAATCAGCTATAACCAAATCCTAACTCATTTTGTTCTCAGCTCAATTAATGACAATACTCAATCATAACTAAGATCTACGAGGATAAAATCAATTTTTACTCAATATAGGAGATCATTAATTAAAGCATCCGAAGTGCCATCTAAGAGCACAACAACGTTCAAATTTAAGACTCACGGTCATGCTCGACAGCAACGTATAGATACTTGTCACCATGCCTATACGTCGCACTCAACAAGAAGCAAGTAGCAAATAAGACTCAACTCTTAATCCCTCAAGTTGAGGTTAAACCGAACACTTACCTCGAACTTCCACGGCCAACTCAAGCCTCGAACACCGCTTTTCCTCTCAAATTCGGCTCCAACCCAATCGAATCTATACACAATTGACTCAATATCATCAATAAGTGCTAAGCAATCCAATTCCAATGTTCAATTATAACTTTCCAATCATTATTCCCAAAATCCCAAAAATCGACCCCGAACCCGCTTGGTTAAAACACGAGGTTCGGACTAAAATCAAATCATCCATTCACCCACGAGCCCAAATATATAATTATTTTCAGAATTCGACCCCAAAACGAGGTCTAAATCACAATTAATTAAAAAGCCCTAACTCTACCCAAATCCCTAATTTTCTACCCTTAATCATATGTTTTAGGCCTAGAAATTCAATAGATGCTGATGAAAATGAAAAAAAAAACGAGTTAAAATTTACTTACCCAAGAAGTTTTGGTGAAAAAGTGCTTCAAGGATCGCCTAGGAGCTTTGGAGAAGAAGAAGTTTTGTAAAATTTTGAGAAATCCCGTAAGTGTTCTGTTTTTGGGTCTTTAAAATAACTGGGCGAAAATATGCATGGCGTTCGCGACAGACCCTTCGCGTTCGCGATGGGTCAGGCTGCAATGATCTTCGTGTTCGCGGACAGCAGCTCGCGTTCACGAAACAGGAACTGCTCAAGCCTCGCGTTCGCGTTCAAGAGACCGCGTTCGCAATTAACAACTTGGTGGCCCTCCCCTCAACCTCACGCGTTTCTCAAGTGGGAGGACGCGTTCGCGAAGGGTTTCCCCCCCTCAGCTTCGCGTTCGCGTCACAACCTTCGCGTTCGCGAAGAAGACTTTGGGCACCTGGGAACTTTGCCTTACGCGTTCGCGAAGGGTAAAATCCCTGGGCACTAACTACAGAAAATCTGCAACTTCTCTTAAACTCAAAACTTCCCGAAACACACCCGAGCCTTCGGGGCTCCTAACCAAGCACACGTACTAACTCAACAACATCATACGAACTTATCCGTGCGATCAAATCGCCAAAATAACCTTAAAACAATGAATCAATCTCAAAATCAAAGGATTTTTCTCAAACTTCATAAAACATCGACTTTAGCAATTTAGGTCAGAATCATGTCAAACGGACTCTGTTTTCAACCAAATTTTACAAAAATGACTTAAACTATATATAAGACCTATACCGGGCGCCAGAACCAAAATACGGGCCCGATACCATCGCTTTCTAATCAGATTTCAGTTCAAAATTCCTTAAACATTTTTAGAAAATAATTTTACTTAAAAATTCATATCTCGGGCATGAGACCTCAGAATTCGATTCCGGGCATAGGCCCAAGTCCCATATTTTCCTACGGACCCTCCGGGACCGTCAAATCACGGGTTCGGGTCCGTTTACCCAAAATATTGACCGAAGTCAAATTTATTCATTTTAAACTCAAATTTCATCATTTTTCACAGAATTTCATATTTAAGCTTTTCGGCTACGCGTCCGGACTGCGCACGCAAATCGGGGCAACTCTAAATGAGGTTTTCAAAATCTCGAAAGTACAAAATGCAATTAAAAACAGGTGACATCACAATGTTCGTATGTCAGTTAAACCTAATAATATGGAGTCTTTTTTTTTGTTTTGTATTTTTCAGTTTGATTTCCAGTAAGGAATAAGATGAAATTCATATTATGTACTTGGGAAAATAAAAGTTATTTTTTAAAGCCATGAAGAATATAATATTGTTACAAGATATATTTAAGTAGAAGTTAGCATATTATTCTATCATGTCGAGGAACTAAAGCAAATGCACAATTTCTATACCAAAATCACGATAAGACATTAGAATAATTTTATGTGACGTACGTAATTTTTTCTTTATTAAGTTGGTCATATATTATTAATATTTATTATTTTCAAGAGCCTGTGCCTTTTAAATTTTATTTTATAACTCAATTATATAGGTTAATAATATTTGTAAAAAAACTTATAGTCATTGGTATGAGTTGCGCGTACTCTACATCTAGTCTGTTTTTAAATAGGTTTAATTTGGTCCATCTTTTCCCTTTTTTTTTTTTCTTTCTTTAACACCTCTAACAGCTAGAAAAAAAGAAGAAGAAAAACAAGGGCCGAAAAAAGAAAAAACGAAAAACCAGGAGAATAGAGAGAAGAGAAAGATTAAAAAGCTGGAAAATCCAAGCTCATATTGGTTACAAAGGCGACGAGGACACGGATCGAGAAATCCAAAATAGGCAAAGCAAAAAAGTGCAATTCGAACCATAAAAACAGCAGCGACGAAAATGGAAGAATCAACGGCTAAAGTAGAGAGATCAATAGCCGCGCCGATGATATTCCTTATTGTCGTAGCTTTGCAATTCCTTTCCCGATATTTCGAAATCAATAAAAAGGTTATTCTTCTCTTCATTTTTCATGTTCTTTATATCACAATTTTCCTTTTAAGTTTTCTATTAAACAATTTTCGGTTTAAGTTAATTTCACAATGACTCGATAATGAATATCATTTTTTTTAATCTTAATTTTGATTTGGTGAAATAGTAGCTTTTAAGTTTTTGCTTTTGATAGATATTAAACATCTGTCGATATGTTAATGATTGATTTGTTCAGTGGGGAGGTTTGAGTCAATTCGGTTTGTTGTTCTATAACTATCATGGATATCTTAATATTTGGGAAATAATTGCTTGTTTTGCAATTGATGTTATTCTGTGATATGAACTGTTAAACTTTTTTCAGAAAGGTTCCACAAGTTCCGAGGATATACAGTTGCGAGCAGAAATTAAGCAGCTGCTAAAGGAGGCAAGTGCCTTGTCACAGTAAGTGATGTCTTGTTTAGTAATCAGACTTCACATCTAGTCTTTGTTTTTTCTTTTTAATAACAAAAGTGCCCGTCCAGCTTGGGCGCATGACATACCTACTAATCCACCGGGTACCTGCTACTCCCACCAGCACAGCACAGGTACCTAATTCAAGGCTTTGACAAATGAGAATAAATCACCTAGAGATTTTTTATCTTTGCTGGTATTGCTAGAATTTGAACCATGATCTCCATGGTCGAATCCAACGTCACTCACCGGGGGGCTACACCTTTGGTGCACATGTAGTTTTAGTCACTTAAATTACTAGTATCTTTTGCTTTGTACATCAAAGCTTATCCTAAGCAAGATTTCATTTTGATTCTTCTTTGCTGTGAATTTTCACAGATTTTCTTTTATGTTGAGTTACTATAGTTATACTTGATTGATAAGTGGGTTGATAGTCAATAATATATACTGAAACTAGAAAGTGGAGTTTCCAGAGGACACGTGATAGTTTTTTCTTTTCATATGGTAAATAAAACTGATCATGTCATTAGGGAAGTTCTATGGTATGGAAAAATTGATTGTGCCTTCGCGTGTATTTCAGGCCGTCAACATTTGCACAAGCTGCAAAACTGAGGAGGTTAGCTACAGCCAAGGAGAAGGAACTTGCCAAAAGTATGGCTTACATCTGTCTTCTTTAGAATAAAAACTAGTACTTTACTAGTAATCCATACCTAGAATGACAAACACTACATGGCTGTGCTGCCCTGGCTTGATATAGTAGCTTTTAGAAGGAATATTGGACTTCTGTATATTCTGATATGATATGTTCAGCTGTTTTCTTGCTATAGGGAATAGAACATTGCTGATAGAACTTACTGGTTACTGCCAGGGACAAATTTCTTCACCCACTTAATGAAGTGATTCATCTTCCATGAATTTTATGCCTAAATTTAGCAGATTGTGCCCAGATTTATGCTGCCTCTTGTAGACAAAAGAACAGTCATCATATCCCACCAAATTACATTTGTGATGGGAAAGATTACTTTAAAAGAATTGATGATCCTCATTATCAATAGCATTGCAAAGCAAAGAACGAGCATTCTGCAATGAGGTCCAAATGAATGTAAATCATGTCCATTGTACTCAGCCTACCATGGCTATGAAACCATGAGATAAAAGAATACTTGGAAATAGCTAATCTTTTCAATTTTTCTATAGTAATTTGAATGGCCAGATACATATGCAACCCCCTAAACTTGTCCATATTTTTCATCTAAGCATGTGACCTATTGAACACCTAACTTCTGGTTAAAGTGTGTCTATTAAACACAAGATGCTGACCTGGCATGTGACGTGCTTTCCACTCTAATTTGAGCGTGTCCAATGGCTCTACATTAAGCTAGAAGAATGATTTTGACGGAAAATGTAACATTTCGCTGGAAAAATGAATTTTTTCCAGAGTCATTTTTCCTATAGAGATTCAGACCTAGTTGCTTATTCTTCTGATTTTTAGGATGATGACTCCAACCCAAATTTTTCCCTCATAGCGCATGCGTAGCCAATGATGGTAAATAGATTGTTCACTATGCTGAATCTATAGCAGTGTTCATTAGAATACAATTAGCTTACATATGTACTAATATACTATATCATCATCATCATTATGATGTTGAAGAACATCAACTTTTCGAAATTATGAAAGGAAAAACATAGTTATAGCAGATTGAAAGATAAATTACTATATATTCATGTATGGAGAAGAAACTACAGCCTCCTTCTATCATCGAGAATCAAGTCCACGACCTCACTTTGGAGATAAGATTTGTGAAATTCACAACAAAGCGAGGCGTTGATGATGAAGTGGAAAGATCTATCAGCGTGTACTAAAGTTCTAGTCCGAAGGGCAGGAATAAACTACATCATCGGAGAAAATGGAGATCGCCGAAAACTTTTCGAAGGACCCTTCTGATCTCTCTCTCTCTAGAATTCTTCTTCTTCAAATTCAAGCTCCAACACCATCTCCGAGAAAAAGAATTGTTGTGGGAATTTGGTATTTTGCTGGAATCTTCTTTCCGGTCAACTCCTATTCTCTCTTTATCTTATTTTTCCTTTCATATCTTGACTTTTTCTTTACTGGTGTGTTCTTTTTTGATTGGTTTGTTTGCCATGTCAATAGCAAGTGATAGTCACGCTCAGAAACTACTTTGGAGTTGCTAAATTTGTGTTTAATAGACACACTTTGAGGATAGGTTAGGTGTTCAATAGGTCATAGGCTTAGTTTAAGTGTCTAAATGAAAAATATGGACAAGTTTAGGGGGCTGCATATGTTTTTTAGCCAATTTGAATAGTGAAAAGGCTAGATTGAGTTGAATGCAAGAGCGTTTCAAATGTAGAGGAACAAGGTGCAGCATACTAACTCTTTCAGCTCAACATGAAATTTATCAATAATTTAGACATTTCTGATGCAGATCAAGCAATTCGCAGCAAAGAGACGAAATTGTCATATGATACATACACAAAAGGCCTAACTATTTTGCAGGTATGCATGGGTTAGTTAAGTGGTTTACAAGCTTCATTTAAGTTGTAATATGCTTATTCACCTGCTAATCACACAGGTCTTGACGTACTTGTTGCTGGTTATCTGGTTTTGGCGTATTCCTGTGGCTTCTATATCTAAGCAGCTCGTACAGCCTTTTGGTAATGATGTTAATTCCTAGATTTTTGAGCTGTAGTCATATCTGCATGACATTTCGTGAATGTGATGTATGCTTATAATGTACACATTTTCCAATTTGCTTTGCTGTGTCTTTCATTGCGGTTTATGGACTAATGTACATTTGATTGCTTTCGCCAGCTTTTAGGATATCCTTGTTTATATTTCAATCGAGCAATCTACCAGTGACATACTGATCTGCTGTTCTTCCACTTTTGCAGGTAAGATGTTGTCTTGGCGAGCTGGAGGTCCTACCAATGAAAATGTTATGGTAATGATTAGTCGCGAATATTTCTTTAATGTTGATTTGTTTCTTTTTGGGGAAATAATGACGGAATGAAGCAGACCTGTGAGAGTAGGTCTTACGGTTAGAGCCTCTGCTTGAACCTCACTACTACCTATTTATTAACTTTGTGAGAATGCACGGGAGAAAATATTATTGATTAATATTGACAATGATACAATGAGCCCTATATATATATAATACATGTCCTCCTCCTAATACATATGGGATTAGGGTTATTTACTACTATTTAACTATCAAACTAACACTCCCCCTCAAGCTGGTGCATATAAATCATATGTACCGAGCTTGTTACATATATAACTAATACGACCAGTGAGGGACTTGGTGAAAATATCAGCAAGCTGATCATTCGACTTTACAAATTTTGTAGCAATATCTCCCGAGAGTATCTTTTCTCTAACAAAGTGACAGTCAATCTCGATGTGTTTAGTTCTCTCATGGAACACTGGATCTGACGCAATATGAAGAGCAACTTAATTATCATACACAAGTCCCATCTAACTAATCTCACCAAATTTCAACTCCTTGAGCAACTGTTTGATCCAAATTAGCTCACAGTCACATGTGGCCATAGCTATTGCTCGATATTCTGCTTCTGCACTAGACCAAGCAACCACATTCTGTTTCTTGCTCTTCAAAGATTCCAAATTTCCTCCTACTAAGACATAATATCCAGACGTAGAACGTCTATCAAAAGGTGATCCTACCCAATCAGCATCTGAGTGTCCAACGATCTGCTCATGGCCTCGATTCTCAAACAATAAGCCTTTGCCTAGAGCTGATTTTATATACCGAAAAATGCGGATAATTGCATTCCAATGACTATCACAGGGAGAATCCATAAACTTACTCACAACAGTCACAAGAAAGGAAATGTCAGGTCTAGTCACTGTGAGGTAATTTAATTTACCAACCAACCGCCTATATCTTGCAGGATCTCTAAGAGGCTCCCCCTGTCCTGGCAGAAGTTTAGAATTCGGATCCATCGGAGTGTCAACAGGTCTACAACCCGTTATTCATGTCTCCTCAAGAATATCTAAGGCATACTTCCGTTGTGAGATCACAATACCTGAGCTAGACTGAGCGACCTCAATACCCAGAAAATACTTTAATCTGCCCAGATCCTTAGTCTGAAAGTACTGAAAGAGATGTTGCTTCAACTTGCTAATACCATCCTGATCATTGTCGGTAATAACAATATCGTCAACATAAACAACCAGATAAATACAGAGATTTGAAGCAGAATGTCGATAAAACACAGAGTGATCAGCTTCACTACGAGTCATGCCAAACTTCTGAATAACTGTGCTGAACTTACCAAACCAGGCTTGAGGAGATTGCTTTAGACCATAGAGGGATCGGCGCAACCGACATACAAGGCCACTAGACTCCCCCTGAGCAACAAAATCAGGTGGTTGCTCCATATAAACCTCATCCTCAAGGTCACCGTGAAGAAAAACATTCTTAATGTCCAACTGATAGAGAGGCCAATGGCGAACAACAGCCATGGATAGAAAAAGGCGGACTGATGCAATTTTAGCCACGGGAGAGAAAGTATCACTGTAATCGAGTCCAAATATCTGAGTATACCCTTTGGCAACAAGACGAGCCTTAAGTCGATCAACTTGGCCATTTGGACCAACTTTGACTGCATACACCCAACGAATACCAACAGTCGATTTACCCGAAGGAAGAGGAACAAGCTCCCAAGGCCACTCGTATGTAAAGCAGACATCTCGTCAATCATAGCCTGTCGCCATCCAGGATGAGACAGTGCTTCACCTGTAGACTTAGGGATGGAAACAAAGGACAAAGATGACACAAATGCACAATGGGATGATGACAGACGATGGTAACTTAAACCGACATAATGAGAATTAGGATTAAGTGTGGACCGTATACCTTTTCGTAGTGCAATCGGTTGATTAAGAGGAGATAAGTCCGCAGTATTAGCAGGGTCAGGTGCAGGACGTGAATTAGCTGGGCCTGATGCTGGGCGCGGATGGCGATGATAAGTCAGGAGTGGTGGAGCTGTATAAGGTTGAACTGGACTAGGTACTGGCACTAGAGCTATAGTGAACTGGACTAGGTACTGGCACTAGAGCTATAGTGAACTGGACTAGGTGGTGGCACTAGAGCTATAGTTGGTGGAACTGGACTAGGTGGTGGCACTGGAGCTATAAGTGGTGGAGCTGCAACTGGAACTGTAGGTGGTGGAGCTGCAACTGGAACTGTAGGTGGTGTAGCTATGGAGGAAGATGAATGAGAGATAGAGACTGAATTTCCAAAAGAAGGAACTGGTAGCACTTCAGAAATATCCAAGTGATTAACTGGACATGCAAAGTATGATTGGGTTTCAAAGAAGGTAACATCAGCAGACATAAGAAATTGCTAGGCCAGGAGAATATCATCGATATCCCTTTTGCGTTCTCGAGTAACCCAAAAAAATGCACTTAAGAGCACGAGGAGCTAACTTATCTTTTCCTGGAGTAAGGTCATGAACAAAGCACGTACTCCCAAAGACACGGGGTGGAAAAGAGAACAAAGGTAAGTGGGGAAACAAGACAGAGAATGAAACTTGATTTTGGATAGCTGAAGATGGCATACGATTAATAAGATAACAAGATGTAAGAACTGCAGCCCCCAAAACGCAGCGGAACATGAGATTGTATGAGTAGGGTACGAGTAGTTTCAATAAGATGTCTATTCTTTCTTTCAGCTTCCCCATTTTGTTGGGATGTGTACGGACAAGATGTTTGATGAATAATCCCATTGGAGTTCATAAACTACTAAAATGGGGAAGACAAATACTCTAGGGCATTATCACTACGAAATGTGCGGATAGAAACCCCAAATTGATTTTGAATTTCAGCGTAGAAGGTCAGGAAAATAGAAAACAACTCAGATCGATTTTTCATCAAAAATATCCAAGTGCACCTGGAATAATCATCAATGAAACTGACAAAATAGCGGAATCCCAAGGTAGAACTGACCCGACTAGGACCCCAAACATCGGAATGGACTAAAGTAAAAGGTGATTCTGCTCGATTATCAAGACGCCGCGGGAAATGGGAGCGGGTATGCTTACGAGCTGACATGACTCATACTTTAGAGTGGACAAGTGAGATAAGCTAGGTACCATTTTCTGAAGTTTGACAAATTGGGATGTCCTAACCATTTGAGTAATAAATCGGGTGAATCAGTAATGTGACAAGTTAGTGGAGGAAGACAAGATGCGAGTCCATGTGATTTTGTAAGGATAAGGTAATAAAGTCCATCTGATTAACGTCCGGTACCAATGATCCGCCCCGTATTGAGTTCCTGTATAAAAACAAGGTCATCAAGAAATAAAACAGCAGATTTAAGTGATTTGGCTAAGCGACTAACGGCTATGAGATTAAAAGGACTACCAGGAACATAAAGAACTGAGTCTAAAGGTAAGAAAGGAAGTGGACTCGCTTGACCTATTGCAGTTGCCATGGCTTGATATCCATTGGCCATTGTGAATGTTGGAAGAGATTGAGAATATGAAATACTAGTGAAAAGAGATTTGTTACCAGAAATATGATCAGATGCACCTGAATCAATGACCCAAGACTCAGAAGTTGAAGATTGGGAGACACAAGTTATGCTACTATTTGTTGGAACAACGGAGGCTAATCCTGAAGATGTCTGTTTACGTGCTTTGTACTGAAGGAATTCAATATAATCCGATAAAGAAACCATCTGGATTGGATTCAATGTTAAAGGCTTCTAATACGAATGCCATTATAATATTGTGCCGGAAAAAAGCAGAATTTTTCAAGGAATTACTGTTCTCGCCAGAAAACTTACTGTTCACGCCGGAAAAATCTCAAAGTGCTCGGAATATAAAGAAAACAATATGGGCCTGGTCGGAATTACTAAAAAATAGGACTGTCCTGAAGAAATTTTCCAAAAAGATGACCGGAACACTATTCACGCGCCGGCGCGTGGGTCTGACGCGCTGCCGGTGTCAGAACATCTGGAGGTGCGTGAGAGCGCATGGACGTGTTCTGCCGGTGTGGTTTTCTGGGGTTTGGTCGCCTGAGAAACCCTCACCTGGTGGTGGTGTTATTTTTCATAAAAAACCCACCAGAGAAGGGATTTCGCAAAAAAAGAGCCCGAAAGTCACCGGAAAAAAGGCACGGTGACTGTTCCGGACTCGCTGGTAACTGCATAGCGGGGATTTCTCACTAGTTGCTCTGATACCATGTGAGAATGCACGAGAGAAAATATTATTGATTAATATTGACAATGATACAATGAGCCCTATATATATATATATATGTACATATGGGATTAGGATTATTTACTACTATTTAACTATCAAACTAACAAACTTAATAGAAAAAAGAGTAAATACTGGGTATGTTGTTGTTGATGTTGTTCTAATAGAAAAAAGAGTAAAAGAGAAGGGTTTAAAAGATTTACTCACTAGGTATCGTTATATTTTCCTGGGGCTTTCAGAGAAGCACCTAAGAATTTAGGAAACTATTTCTCTGCAGTATTCGTCATTCCTCACTTCCCACGAAAAGCTAACATTTATCAACATTCTTCAAGTATCTTGTTGTGATCGTATAGTGTCCAATCTTGTATACGGGAGTTTTCTCCCTTTTGATTAATACAATTTACCTTATCAAAAAAAATAAAAAACAACATATGATTAATAGGATCTACAGTCCTTTTCTTTTCCTACTTTATCCTGAGTTTTGAAGAGAATTACCTTGTTGGAGCTTATTGTACCTTTGGTTCTTTATATTGGTCCAAGTCTAATGTGCATAAAAGGCAGCACTTGTAACATATCACCAAAAAAAAAAGAAAAACCCAAAGCTGCTTGTGTTTTGGCTGAATGACATTTTGAACTGTTTGTTTATTGCAATTGCAGGTGGGGATTATTCCATGGTTGATATTGTCTACGAGAGTCAGCAAATCTATCTGCCGAAGAATATTCAACTAGGAGGAGAAAGTATAAGTGACATTAGTGTGCACTGACCCTTTTTTTCCCTTTCTTTTTGATATCTATTTCATTGTATTGTCAATTCATTAGGATTTGTACATTGAATGTGCTACACCCCTGTAAGGATTACCCTTTTTCTTTTTCTGGAAGTAGGAACAGATGCGATGAGTTAGAAGTCATATTAGAAAGGAGTGCTTCTATATGGCTTCTTTTGGTTTTGAAAAGCAAGTGCAGTTTTCGGTTGTTGGATTTTTTAGGGATAAGTTTGTAATATTTAGATTTTGTCAAGTGGATCCGCTTTTTGAGTTGAAATATAATTATATTGTGTGCATTTGGTATACAAAAGAGGATTTTGTAGTGACAGTGCTAGACATAATTTGCACAATCACGTCAGCCTTGTTGTTGATGCTGCATAGGGTTGAGCTACGTTGGCTTGGTTCAGCTACAACATTCTCAAATTGGTTATAAACTTCGTCCTTTCCTGCAAAATTAAGTACAATCCACAGTCAGGATTTAGTGTGTATATGATATTTGCTTCAGTGTGTGGTTAATGCAATGTACATATTGCCACTGACTGCTTTTGTTTGTCGCAAACTGGCAATGCTTGTAAGATAGATGCATAACCCACTTTTTGTTTTTAAGTGATTTAAATATTTGAATTTTTTTAGCTTATCAATATTTTTCTCTAGCTCTCTTCCCTGAGCAGGTCACAGCACCATGTCCTTCAGTTGATTAGCAATGTAGCTGTTTGCCCCTCTGGAGTGTTAGTTCACCTGCCTAATGTCTACTTATAGCCTGTTTGGCCAAGTTGCAAAAATCAGCTTATTTTGAGAAGTGTTTTTTTTAAAAGTTCTTTTATCAAAAGTACTTTTGGTGAGAAGCCGTTTGTGTTTGGCTAATTAGTTTGAAAAACACTTCTGAGCAGCAATTAGTGTTTGGCCAAGCTTTAAAAAACTGCTTCTAAGTGTATTTTTCTCAAAAAAGTGCTTTTGGAGAGAGCTACTTTTTTCTGCTTCTGTTTCTCCTCAAAAACACTTTTTTTCCTTCTAGAAGCTTGGCCAAACACCTTAAATTGAGGTCAAAAGTGCTTTTGGCCAAAAAAAGCACTTTTCGCCAAAGACAAGCTTGGCCGAACATATGCTATTAGTCACCACTATTCTAGTGCTGTAGGTCTGCTGTCACATCCGTGTTAACATATCCCTATTCAGAATTCATTATCTTTTTAGGATGCACTCTTTAGTCTGGCTTTCACTTTTAGAATGTTATTGCACATGTTAACTACCTTCTCTTTTCTTCCATTAACTCTAAAATTTCCCTAATAAACACCAAGTTGGTATCAAGAAGTATGTGCAAGTTGTGTATATGACTCAACCTGAGTCATTTACAGGCACTCATCAAGTTTGTTCAGCTACTTATATATACTAACGTTCCCCGTCAAGCTTCTGAAACCATGTTGACTACTCAAAGAATGTGTTTCAGTAACTTGATTCTGAATCTCTCTAATTATAGAAGTAATTGATACAATTAAGTTGACTAGAATTGGAGTTACAAATTCTAGGTTAATTCTTCAAGTACCATATCCCAATTTGTTCGTTGCTCTCTCTTTCAGGTTTTTGACTTATCTCTCAGCCATATGTGAGGATGATGTTCAGGGGAAGAAGCTAATGCATGCAGCCATCAATCCGCTGTTTTGCGTTCCAGTTTCTGGAAGTTCTGAAAATGATAAATCTGTGGAGAACTATAGTGAAACTAGAGATGCAAAACCTGCTTTACTTTGGAGTGTCTTGTATACTCAAGAGCTTACTAAGGTATCTGGAATACCCTCTTTTACCTTTTTTGTTTTTGGTTTGCTCTACACAGCTACCAGCTTCCATTTTGTTTCAATATGAATTTTCTTCAGTTCTTGTTTCATTTCGCTAAAGGAAATGTGCTATTCGTTTTGATAATGCTTTTTGTTTGTAAAAATACTGAAACTGCTATCAAGCGCCTTTCGCTTTTTAGGCCTTTGCTGTCAGTCAATTTTGTTTCCTTCAGGGTTATGGATTATTTTGGCCTGGAATCTTCTGCACATTTAGATAGAGGTTATCAACTTATCATATAGAATATCTAACATGTTCATTAGTGTAAACATAAAAAAAACATGTTCATTAGTGTCACTGAGCATAGTACATTAGTTGGTTGGCGGATAGGAATTAACTACTCTTGAAGTTTATCACCCGTGTTTTGTTTAGAGTTGAAAGCCAGACGAGCAGTTGGATTGCTTATCGCCGAATTCAGTCATTATTTTATTCCGGAGGGAGGGTGTGGTATCAATATTCATGGATTAGATTCCATGGGATTAAGTGTGAGAATTACCCTTTAGATCCCCTCTTATAATGGGGCTAAGGATAGCTTTTGCTTCATTTCTCTTCCTCCTTGCCCTTCATCTCCCTCCAACACTGAGCCTTTCCAGTTACATCTTGCTACCTCCGGCGACTCCTCTTCCCTGCAGATTGCTTTACTTGTTGTCGGTCGATCCACCCTCCAAGAGAGAAAAGACCATGTAGCTGAGATTATGATTTTCTGCCTCCCATCCCCTCCTCTTGTTCCCTCCCTTAAGCTGATTGCTCTGTCTCTTTCCTTTCATTTGTCTTCCTTGTAATTATTTCTCCTGCCCTTGCAATTTAATGTTCTCCACCCCTTTATTTTTTTTTCCTATGATTTTTTTCCCTTTGTTATTCTTCTCTTCTCCTTTTCCCCGAAAACATTCTACTTTTATGTCCTGTAATATTTACGTTTTGCTAACTATGCAACAATCTTCTTCTCTCTCTATTTTCTTCCCAACAATTATTACATTCTATTAACCAGGTTGCGATTCTTCTTCTGTAAATTATGGATAATTAGTGTTAGATTGATGGACATTGGATGGACATGAATTTGTGATGGAAAAATCAAATACTGTAGTGTAGTTAATTAATCTAGTTTCTTATATATTATATAATCCCTTGTTTTGCATGAAGATTATACTTGGACTGATATTTCAATTTTCGTGTAAAACGCAAGATTGGGTGGGTTACTGTTAAGGTACACATGGGATTAAGCAAACTGTACCAAACGACAAGCACAAAATATCGGGTTGTGATACACCTTGCGATCCCCAAATAATTAATCATTTATCCATGAGCTAATAATCTCAATTCATGCGACATGCTACCAAATGGTCCCCGAGTTTGTGATCTATGTCCGGCGTGTTGTCCTGACTTTCCCGAATTCCGTCCATCAGTTTTAGGATGTACTAGATAACATCATTTGTACCCCCATGCCAGATGGGAGTCCATACTACCATGATCTTCTGGTTGCTACAGAAAAGGTAACACATTTTGCTTTTCTTAAATGGACCTCTTTTATGTTGGTCCCTATTTTCTTTTTTCCCTGATAGCTGCCGCCTTTTTTCTTCTTTCATCTTGTGCTTTACCTTCTTTGTCATGGCCTGTTTGCGTGCATATCACAAGGGCTTATAGTGATATAGGAGAAGGGTAGATCCTCAGACATTGACCCGTTTGGTGTTCTTGTGCTATTTTTGTGTAGATATTTCAAGAGCTGTACTTTGAGTCGAGGGTCTTTGAAAACAACTCTCTCTACTCCCACAGAGTAGGGGTAAGGTCTGCGTACACACTACCCTTCTCAGACCCTACTTGTATTGGATATGTTGTTGTATTTCAAGAGCTGTACTTTGGTGAAGAATTCTTTCCCAAGACAGCCTCGTTGGAGGAGGGTGCTGTCGAAGAGCTGAAGGACTAGAGACCAAATTGATGCTGCTGGATATGTTGTCATTTTAGCTGACAGTTGGCAGAATAATACAGTTTGGCATGGACAATGACGAGGAGAATATACTTGAGGTGGTTTCTGTCCCTATATTCCAATGTTGAAGTCTTTACTTGAAATTATTTCGTTGTTGTAAGAGTAATAGCTATAGCCAGGGGCGGAGCTAGCATTCGGATTACGGGTTCAGCTGAATCCAGTAATTTTAGTTCAAAACATGTATTTGTCTTAAGAAATTATTTGAATGTATACAAATTATTAATTTAGAACCCAATAACTGAAAAAACTAAAATTCCGAACCCATAAACTTCAAATTCTGGTTTCGCCTCTGGCTATAGCTAGCCTTTCTAGTTTCTTCGGCCTACAAATGAACAGGAAGGAGCGTAGAGGGTTGGCACGAGACTTGGAATGTTGAAGTTTGGCAAAATGCCAAAGTCCCACATCGGTTGGGAGTTAAGTTTGGGGGGGATT